AATTTAACCCATTAATTAATTCAAGGTTATCCCTTTTAACCATCACGTAGTTAAATTATTAACATTAACCCACTAAATTTATAATTATAGCAGGAATAGTCCAAAACGTCCCTTAAAACATTTAAAGAAATCCGACCCAGCCTGGGATTACGCAGCCTGTGACGGGCCGTCGTGCCTGCGACGGTCCGTCCTGCTGAATCGTCGTAAAGTTCAGAGACTGAAATTTACTGAAGGGTCTGTGACGGTCCGTTCTGCCACTTCGTCACGAAGTTCAGAGAGTCGATTTCAGTACCCAAATTTCAGAATTCTAAGTGTTTTGGAACGATACCCCCTCGACGGTCCGTCGTGCCCATGACGATCCGTCGTGGGTTCCGTCGTCTCAGCCAGTTTTTTCAGAAATAAAATCTGCTGCTCAAAACGACTAAACAGGTCGTTACAACATGTCATTGATGGGATACTTTTATAAATATAAAAATATTATGACGTGTTTAATTTCATAGGTCTGAATTATTTAATCGTTTAAATAGTATGTCATGTTTCAAAGCACAAGCTTCGTATTTTAAATTTGTTTTTGTTTTTGAAATTTCTTTATCGATTCTTACTGTGACATATAAATTGAAATAGACGAAAGCATTTTTCTTTTTTCCAACCACATATTTTTTCAATTTTTTTTAAAGTTTTAGATAAGCTTTTCATTGGGCCCTATTTACTATATAATTTATTTATTTTTCCCCTTCTCATTTTCTACTTTTATTTTTTTTTATTTTTTTGTGGTTGGATGTAAAGAGTCTGATGATAAAGCAACTATATATTATAATATAATGCCAAGAGACATTGGGCCAACCACCATAAGACCTACTTAATGTCCTAAAAAGTCATAATATCATTATCTTCATATTTCTTTTTTTATTATTATTAATAAAAACTCCAAATTGAAAAATATATGTAATTATAATAAGTAGAAAAAAAGTAATATTTAGAGTAAAGTTTTTAAAAATGTATTTAAAAATTAAGATGATTTTAAATATGTATTTTACTTTAATAAAAAGGTAAAATTTTGCGAGTTTAAAAAGATTTTTTACTCGAAATACTAATCAAGTACCACTTTTCATATAATACATTTTAAAGTAATTTTCAAAAAAATAATTCAATTATATAATTCACACTTTTTTAAAATAAATAAATAAATAATAATAATAATAATAATATATATATATATAGTATTAATAAATTACTTAACTACCGGTGGTTAACTTGATTTATTTATTTTTTAATAATAAGGAAATTTGTTGCTTTTTTAATAAGTTCATAAATAACACAAATCCTATCAATGAATTAAATTTTTTAAAAAAACATGTAAAATATTATGTACATGAGATTTCAAAGTGTTTTTTGCTCAACTAGCTCGATCTGATTATATTTATTTATTTCTAAAAGGAATAACATGAATGTGTGGCAATAGATTCAAATGTCACCTTTTTTTTTCTTCTTTGATTGATTTATTATATGTAGATATTTCCTTAAAGAAAAATTAATTTTTTAAATACAAATGAGACAAAAGAATTATACATTGAGTTTCCTAATTGCCAGACAGTATTCGATTTGATTTTAAAAAGTTATTTTTTTTAATGTTTCAATAATTTACTTTAGTTTTTTATAGAGATGAAATCTTATATTAATTGTAAATTGCACTAATTAGAGGACTTAAATCTCCTTTTAGTTAAAGTTGTTGTCATGATGAGATTGTCTAAATTATGACTATAAAGGATGTCATAAAAATAAATTAAAATTAAATTATTTATAAATATTTCTTTAAAATAAATTATTTTAAAAATATATATCAAGAGTGAATTTAAATCATCTTTCTAGATAATAGGCTCATGTAATGTTGAAAATTCAACATTTTCCCTTAGTTAATA